TACCTTATAATTAATAAATATTTTTTATTTTTTTTTACCAATTGTAAAATTCTTAAATATATATATAAAATTTCGCTCTGGACTCACAACGGTTTCCGTTTCCTAGTTTATTAAATCATTTAAATTATTTAATTAAATTATTTATAATCCATAAGACTTGCATATTAAAAAATTGTATACGTCTGATGTATTTTTTACATCTCAAATAAAATTAATATTCTTATTAATAAATTAAATATAATAAATTAAATTTTATTTTCTTATAATTTTTAAAGTTTAATTAAACCAAATTAAAAATAGTAATTGTTTTTGAAGTGAAAATTAATTATACAACTGATTGCAATTTAGATTACATATCTTTTAAGATGTAATTAGTAATAAATTTTAATATTATAATTTTATATTTAAAATTTTTCAACTTGATTACAATCTTTATTTATTATTTGAATGATATTTATAATTTTATAAGTCACTTTATTATATTAAAAGAATAATATTTATTTAATTTTTTTTTACTTTTATTTAATATCAAAATTTATTTTTAAGTTGACGATTATTTAATTAATTAATATCAAAAATCATAAATATAATAATTAACTTTTTTATTAATATTTTACCAATTCGTCTTTTTTTAAGAAAATTTTTTTTTTTTCAATGTAATAATGTAAAGAATTTTTTGAGGTTATATACATAAAAATTAGTGTTATAAATGTAAATTCTATAAAAAGTCTATAAATAAAGAATAGTAATATATTTTCATCCAATCTTCAATTACATTACTCTCCTTGTAATATCATCTCATCTAGAAATATATATATATATAATAATTAAAATCCTTGGTTGTTATTATTAACGTCTAACTTGAGACATTTCTTCTCGTTCTATTAACGTTATCTTCATCAATTATTTCTTCTTCAATTTCGGTTTTTTTTTCCTCCTTTACAACATTCTTTAATATCTTTTAATAACTCTACGCATAAAGGTTTGGTTGGAACAATAAGATCAAATTTTGGACTGATATATTTAACATTTTTAATTTTATGTTGTACTGATGGAATTCCCGCAGACTCAAGTAAGAATTTGAAAGCCGTTATTGATGGATTAAAAGTATCCTGCTGGGCAAATTATATGATTTAGAAAATTATAAAAAATGAAGGAAAAAGTGTGAGACAATTTATTCAAGAAGATTTAAGATTTAAATAATATTTGTATACACCGTACCTGTTCTCCATGAAATAATACGACTTTACGTGGTAATAACGCTTTTAATTGGTCGTGATTTTGAACACGTTCGAGTGCATGGCTTAACAAATATGTTGGTGAGCATTGAAGAAAAGCATCGGGTCTATTGCCCATAACTCTTGGTAAGGCGTGAACTTGTTCAAGGCCTACAGTATTAAAAAAAAATCGGTTTGAATTTATTCTTTCAATATTTCCGGTAGTAAATTTTTTTTTACGAATCCCATACCTTTTTGATATAAATACGCGTAATAATAAGTTATATCGTATACCCCCGAAAATCTAATAAAAAAGTTTATATCTTACTAAATTATATATTGAACACAATGCAAACGAATCACATCGCATGATCAATAAAGCAGTTCTTACAAGATTAGTCCTTGGACTCTTGGTAATCCAGTCCTTCTAACGTTATCCCATACAGGAATATTTACGTTGGTGTTATTAGAAGGAAGAACGTTTAACGTGGCACAGGCGTCGTGAATGACGGTTAACGCTGATAAAAGCGAACCAGCGTCATGGCCCATAAGGTAAATTTGAGAGGGATCGCCTCGAAATGAACTAATTTCAAAATGTGATTTTATTAATTTAAATTACGCGTGATATCACACTATTGTGTCACAAAAAAACTAAGATGTATACCTGATATGAGTATGTGTCCAATAAATACACTGTTGAACATCTGCGACCATCTCAGCAATCCTCCCCTAAAATCACGTGCCGAATTTATGAAAATCGCATGAGCTTGATGAATCTCGCAACATAAAATTATCGATAGCAAATGTTCATACATACGTTCGGATATAGGGTTAAATCAGGAACGATCACAATGTATCCCTGACTTTGAAGACTTTGGGCTACTGGCATACAAGTCGCTCTGTTTCCTATTAAATTGAATAATACATATGAATGATACATGTGATGATTACGTAAATGACGATCAACTGATCTAGCCTCATGTTGAACACGAGACCGTACATCAATCGCGTCGCGTTTTCTTGATAGAGAGATGACTCACCAGAATTCCATGATGTTCCAATAAATATGATAACAGCAGTATCATTTTGTTGTTGGTTTGGATTAGGTGTAGAATTAGAGGATAACGCGGGCTGTCCCATGTTATCATTATTTCTATTATTATTCCTAGTCAAGACGCGATCAGGAACATAAATGTCCAAACGATTTCGAGGTCTAGGACCGTAACGAATATTTTTCCTAATACGAAATCACAAAAATGAAAATGAATAATTGAAAAAAAAAAGAGAGTTTGATTTGGAAGATGAATTATTACCTTACTGATGTTCTCTTTCTTTCACTTGACAACTTGTGCCATCCATATTGAAGTATTGACGGGATAAAGGAACCCGTCAAATTTTCGTATAGACAAGTGAGGAGGTAAGAAGTTACCTTATAAACTCGCTTGGGATTTAAAGGCACTTTTAACTGTGATTGCGGAGCGTCTGTTTGAGCTAAATAAAATGAAATCATTTTTTTTGGTTGTGTTAAAGTTAAATATAATCGAATTAATTTGCTGCGGATAATGATTTATAATTTGTACTTGATTGATAAATTACCATATAGTAGATAGAAGGTCCAGCATAAGCAATAGGAAAAGACTTTTAAAAATATATATACATATATATAATGAAATTAGTCATTTTAAATCTTATAAAGTCAAGAATTATAGACAAAAAGAAGACCGTTGACTTACAAATTGCGACCGATACGATTGGGAAGAACACCCAAGCCAATATAAGCACCATTATTTTCTTTATGGTTTTCCACTCCATTTTTTTTTTTTCAAAAAAAAAAAAATATTTACTATTATATTAAAGGTATTAATTATTTAAATCTATTCCCGGGTTATTTTTCAAAATGAGGACAAAATATTTATGGCATCAAGGTTCAAAATGAGAAAAATAAAAAGGAGGTTAAAGAGGGAGAAAAGATCTTATAGATGCAGCAAATAAATAAGTGATAAACTGCAGTTATTATTGTGATTATATATATAAATTTAATTGAGTTTGAGCTGTTGTGTTAGTAAATTCATATATAGTAAATAGATTAAATTCAAACGTCATAAATATACATAATCGTCAATGCACATGCCTTTTGAATGAATCAAAAAAAATTTTGATCAATGCTCACAAAAATTTCACGAGGATTTGTTGTCGTTCTATTTGTATCACGGAAAGTTTGTGGAGTAACACTTTGTATGGTTGTGTCACGAAAATTCGACGAAGAAAGGGGGAAAGGATTGTTTCGGCTGTGAAGGCGAAAAAGAATTGGGAGAATTTTATTGTTATTGAGGTTACATGGGAAAAAACAATGAAAAATTTTATATTAAGTCAATCATTATAAATTTTTTTTTGGAGGTTGGTGTAACGAAACCGAGGAATAATGGGTTAATGTTTTGCTACACAAGGAAGGGTCCAGAAGAATAATGCTTGAATAAAAAGTAGAATTTTATTCCGTTTTTTTCAAAATTTATTTATTTTGCCATTCCAAGCAGACAAGCACCATCAAGTAAAAAGATCAGTCATATTAAATATTGCTTTTGGTAATATTGGATTTCGCCGCTTGCTGATAAGAGATTGTCGTGCATTAATTAAAAACTGGCTGACCGATTAAATAAAGATCAGGAGAGCAGGAAGTTTACCATTCATATTTCAATCTTTAAATGTACTTTTTAGGTATTTTATATTTCCTTCGGAGTTATTAGCCGATAACGAAAAAAAAAAAAAAAAAAAAAAAGGGAGTACAGAACGGGATTATTTTATTTTACCTTTTAATAAAAGGTTAGATAAATTACATGCAGGTATTATTAGTCATGCATCGCTCGGAAATGCTAGGTAAAAACAAATACTGTATTTCTCGGCATCTTTTACATTATTGATAAAAACAATCATATGAAATTTATCTTAAAAATTTCTTTAAATAAATCACATTTCAGTAAACAAACATTAGCCACGAAAAAAACTGACCTTAATTTCGAACAATAAAATCACGATCTCTCATTATTGAATTTTTTTTTAAAAAAAAAGCTTATCATTTTCTATCGAATAAATTACACACGCGTAATCAACAAGGTTAATAGCAAATGGAATTGTACATAACACAATACTTTTCTTCTTTAGTCCATGAATCACATAATTCCATTATCTTATACAATGGAAAATCTGTTCCATAAACAGTCATATAGATTAAATAAAAAAATTAAAGTTTTCCGGTTTTACTTCTTTATTTTACAAAGGTGCAGGTTAATGCATCAACCAATCTCGGACAGAGACGCAGCGGATTACGTGGATAAATTGAAATAAAATATGATGAATGTGATACGAAAGGATCGTACACGTGAAAAAAGAAAATATCCCAACAGATACAGTAAACGGGTAAACTTTTTTTAATTAAATTTAAAAACAATGCTATCGGTAAAATGCGCAAAAAAATCATCTTGCATAATCGTTATTAATGGTTAAAAGTTGGTACGCCGACAATTCCCATTTTTATGATCTTGTGTCATTTCATCCTTAGCTTCCCACCAGAGCCTTTTATCATCCTCATGATAAACATGAAATAATTGCACAATTTCCGTGCTTTTGCATGGTTGAGTAAATGATGTGCATCGTAAGGTTGGAACATCTTGATTACAATTAACATGATGAGCAAGGAAAAAAAGACGGTATTATTTAAATTACGGAATCATTTTTGATCCGTTTGATATCACGTGGTAAAGCAAGTTTTTAATCTTGCGAACTTTGTTAGGTATTACCTAAGTCTACCCCGTAATATAATTTAATCACCTTATATAGTAATTTGACTACCCCAAAATATTACCTAATATGTATTATAAATATTTCTTTTAAAAAATCAACCAATGTACGATAATTATAGTGGGTATTATTGCGGAGAAATTTCGCGTAATTTTACACAACTGAACCAACCGCCTGGAATATATGGCGTCATTTTATTTATAGAAATTTTCAACATGACCAAAACCATTTACAATTCTATTTAAATTAAAAGGTGATGTAACCTTATGAGAAGATTCTGTATCAAAAGATCATAAATAAATAAAAGAAAAACTTTCCCTCCTCATTTTAAAGTACAAAATGCTCGAAAGAAGTCCAATCCATCACTACCTGTTGCCGCTTCGACCATAATTGGAACATTAGCACCAACGAAAAATACACTTCCAGGTTCTAATAATTCTGATGTTTCATCAGCTGTCATAGCTCCATTTCCATTAGTAACGATTATGATACTAGGACCTGGCATTCCATCGAACACTTCTCTTTTTTCTAGAGAATTAAGTCGAGTCATGCTAACGGAAAATTCCTCGATCGGTGGATCGTACAAAGTAGTTGATTTATGATTCTTATACGGAATTGGATTTAAAATTTGTGATTTGGCACTTCCATAACGATAAGTTAACATATTCAAAAGTACATCAACATCTTTGAATTTAGGAGTTAATCCCGCACGGATCACGTTATCACTAGTCGCCATACACTCCACAATATCTAAAAAAAAAAAAAAATGAAAAAAAAATGAAATGGAATGAATAATTCATCATGTTAAATTAGCATTTCACTTGCCTCCGGATAAGTAAGCATGAGGTTCATTTGCTCCCAAAAATATGGCTTGACCGGGATCCAATTTTACATAATTTAATAATAAAGCACCGAATATTCCTACATCACCAGGAAATTGATCATTTAATCTAATTAGAAGTTCAGGAATACTTCCTTTTGTAAAAGTTTCATTATCCAATTTTACCCTTTTAATTAATTTATCAACCTGTTGAGAAACGATCGTTTCATTTGTGGTCATAACTTTGCTAAATAATTCACGAAGTGCTGATTTGTTTAATTCAATATCCTCTATAAGTTGAGAAGTTTCTCTTCCTTCAATTGTTTTTAGAAAATGAGAAGAAACTTCATTTCCAATAAGCTCGGTAAATTCGGGATTTTTTTCAAGGACCGATTTTATTTCTGTTAAAGGTCTAAAACCACATAAAGCTTCAAATTCTGTAATCGCCACGGCCATTTCAGGTTTATGATTTGGATCTAAATTACAAATAATGAAATTTGATGTTAAAAGAAAAATGTAATTTACAAATATATATATATACATGTATATACTTGGTTGATTTCACCTTTATAAATTTTTGGAAATTTTTCGAATAATTCTTTTCCAAGCTTTTTATCAGGGTGTGCTTGAATAGAAAGAGCTTTGCGTACAGATAAAACTTTAAATAAAAATGGTAAATTTCCATTATATATTTTAGAAATTTCCGATGAAAGTAATTTATTTGGATCTGATTCAATTTTCTCTTTAAGTGAATGTGTTGGCTGTTTTGCTAACACACTTGGACCATTTGAATGTGTTCCCATCCATAACTTTTATAAAAAATTTTATAATTTTAATAGATATCTTTTAAGAATTTATACAAAAATTTTCAATTTATTCACCTCGGAATATGGTTTATCAAGTTGAATTTCAAAGTCTTTTGAAATTTGAGCGAATTGTGCCACTTTACTTTCATTTCCAATTTTCCCCCAATCATAATTTTGAACGGCACATTTTAACCTAAAAATTGCCGGTTCAGACATTTTGATAAAACTTGAATAATCAATTTAAAATTTACGGAACTTACACTTTAGAGATAAAAAACACCACAAAAAAGTTTTTTAAACTTACAAATTATGTCTGGTCAGATGTGACCGGCCAATGAAAATTGATACTTTTATCAGTGATTACGTAACATATATATACATATTGATCATTCAAAGCTTTCTTTTTGTACGAGAAAAAAAAAATGTCGGAAAATCCTATAGTATTTTTTGATATTTCAATTGGAAATCAACCAGCGGGTAGAATCAAAATAGAATTATTCGCAGACGTTGTACCAAAAACTGCCGAGAATTTTAGGTAACGGAAATTCATACGAAGAGATTTTGTTTAATAAGTTCAATTAATTAAAATAATTAGTTCAAATTGATTATGTAGACAATTGTGTACGGGAGAATTCAAGTAATTATTTCGCCTTATATGAATGTTATTATTCCTTTTGTATATTTGAATACTTTTTTTTCTGACCAATCTATAGGAAAAATGGAGTACCACAGGGTTATAAAGGGGCACAATTCCATAGGTAAGGAATTTCTCTTATCAAGAAACATATTCTTATTTATTTTATTTTATTTTATTCTCATTCTTTTTCTTAATAAAGAGTTATAAAGGACTTTATGGTTCAAGGTGGTGATTTTCTAAAGGTAAGTTTTTCCCGAATCATTATATTATTTTATGATATGTAACTTAATTTCGTAATCTTGTGTAGAATGATGGGACCGGATCATTTAGTATTTACGGAGAGAAATTTTCTGACGAAAATTTTGAATTAAAACATACTGGTCCCGGGTTACTTTCAATGGTAAATCTTATAAAATCTATTTATACTTGATTAAAATATTAAATCGATTAATTTTAATATAATAGGCAAATAGCGGGCCAAATTCAAATGGATGCCAGGTATTTATACCCTTTTAATAAATAAATTTAATATTGGTTTAGATTAATTCATGCTAATTCCTTTTTACTTTGGGATAAAGTTTTTTATTACGTGTGCCAAATGTGATTTCCTTGACGGAAAACATGTTGTTTTTGGAAAGCTTATTGATGGTTTACTTACACTAAGAAAAATTGAAAATGTTTCTACTGGACTAGGAAATCGTCCTAAATTACAAGTTGTAATAACTGAATGTGGACAATATTAAACAAATAAATACATTAAATTCCTATATCACTTTCATTTCGAGGAGGGGAAAAAAATGGGTTAAGGTTCTAATTAGTAATTTTTTATATATGTAACAAAAATATTTTTTTTAGACGATAGTATATCTATTATAAAGTTTTATCAATGATGATGATTTCTGATATATTAAAGGGTTTCTGCAAATGATTAAACTTATTTCAAGGCATTTCATATGGCGTTTACTGTAACGAGCGAGCATTAGTTTTATTTCAAGCGCTTCCATAATTACAATGGATGATTGAGATAATAAATCACTTGATCAATATGAATAAAAAGGTATTTTTTTTTTTTTTTTTTTTAAACAAAACATATTATTATAAACATTATGATTAACGAGATGTAAAATTTATATTTAAAGTTAAATAGGACATGGAATAGGAAATCACGTTTTTCATGTTTTAAATATTAATTCTTATATTATCGATTATTCTTAATTCACTAATCATTAATACAAACTTTTTACTAGCATATTAGTTAAATATAAAATAGCTATTACTAATAAATAAGTATTACAATTTTATATTGATAAATTTCATTAATATATATTTTTTATCTTATAAATATATATATTTGTTTTAATTTTTATAATAATAATACATTAAAATATTATAGAAACATTAATAATATGATCAAAGCTATTTATAATTATAATTGATATTAATCATTAAAAGTTTTAGATTAACTGATTAATTAACTAATTTCAACTGAATTATATTTAATTAGTAAATTAATATTCTTATATTTAAATCAAATAATTCTTAAATAAATAAAATAAAATATTTTTACTTCATACTGTAAGATATACATATTCAACCCTAAAATTTAAATATTATCTCTTCAATGGTATTTAAGATTGCTTATCTAAACTCATTTTTTTCCCTCCTCATTTTAAAGTACAAAATGCTCGAAAGAAGTCCAATCCATCACTACCTGTTGCCGCTTCGACCATAA